TAAGTACCAACGGCATCTTATACTTACAATCACAGGAAAATGCAAATTAAAACCACAGTATGCTACCACTACGTATTTCCAAGAATAGCTAAAATTTAAAAGATTGACAAACCAATTGTTGGTAATGATGTGGCATAAGTGGAGCTCTCTTGCATTGCTGATGGGAATGCAAGAATATACAGCTACTTTGGAAAACAGTTTGCTACATTCTTAAAAAGTTAAACACACACCTGTGTATGCCTCAGCAATTCTGCTTCTGGGTACTAAACACAGAGAAGTGAAAACATACCCTCACAAAGACTTGTATGCAAATGTTCATAGTAACCTCAAACTGGAAACAACCCAAGTGTTGTTTCATCAATAAATTATGAGTAGATAAACTTTGGTATATACATATATGAACTACTATTCAGCAATAAAAATGAATAAACTACGGATATATACAACACACTATTAGCGATAAATCTAAAAAGTGAAAGGACCAGGTGTAGAAGTCTTCATGTTGTATAATTTCAATTGTGTGAAATTCGAGAAAAGGCAAAACCATAGTGATAGAAAGCAGATCAGTAGTTGGCAAAGGCCAGGGACTGGGGTGAGGAGGCTCTTTGAAAGTGTGAGAGAACTTGTTGCAATAGTGGAAATGTTCTTTGTCATGATTGTGGTGGTAGTCACACAACTGAATCCAATTGTCAAAGCTTATTGGCTTGCATACTGAAAACCGGTATTTTTTTTTTAAGTGTAAATTGCACATTGTGAAAGCTGACCAAAAAAAGTAAATAAAAATTAAATTGATGGTATCTTAGTTTTTATGAAATGCATTTTTCTGTATTTTAAAACTAATATAGAGAACAAGAGAAGCAGAAAAAGGGAGAAGTCACTTATAGTTGCACCACACAAAAATAACCACTTAAAAATGTTAGATTTTTTTCGCTATAATCTACATTTACAGTTTTTCTTTATATGTGCTATAAACGGCATTCCTAACTACCTCCCCTGTGGAGTTAGTGTTAGACACTGTGCAGCCTGGATGAGAGGGTGCTGGCGCTCCTGCTTGTTTACCTTCTTTATGCTCATGTTTCATGTTCGGCTTCCTGTAACATCTCTGTGTAATGTGCACCAAAGAATTGGAAATATTTATAATAATTATGTGAAATCCTGTGTCCCAAGGACATTGAATTTGGATCACTGAGAAAGAACTCTAGTGCAGAACTAAGATGTATTTAGAGGTCCTTAGAGGGAATTTTAGAACCAAGGCATAAAGACAGGAATCATTAACTTCTGAGGTATGTATAATAGTTTGGTAACGAGTGAAACTTACTGAGAGTGGCTTCATGGAAGCTTTCAGTTTAATTTTTTTTAACTTGCTTAAAAAAGAAGAAAAAAAAATGAAGCTGATTCTATAGGCTTTCCTCAGCGATAAAAGGATTTGCAGTGACATAAACTGAATCATTCCCCATTCTGTCTTCCAGCTCATACCTACTGCATGGAGTTACATTAGGAGAGATGGCTTCAGCTTGGTTGCATGTAGCTTTGTGGTTCTGAGCTCAGGCTTAGCATGGGTTAGGGTGAGGAGATTTTAAGCAAGAAGTTCCCTACTCTAGCCCTTGGAATACAGAGCTATTCTGACACTGATTTTTTTTTTTTTGACTTACAGATTGTTTGAATCTAGATATGACCAGGGTTCTCTGGCTTACCCACACTTTTAAGATTCTTGAATCAAGACATGTGAAATGAATGCTAGTCCTATATTATGCATTCCAACACTGGATTGTTTGTAAATTTGCTGACACTGAATTTTTGAAGCTCCTTATTTTGTGTAACAGATTGTGTTTCACAGATATCCCTGTGGCCTCCAGGGGGGTAAAGAGGAGGCCTCCTTGGGATCAGGTGACTTGTTCCTAAGAGCCAAGTAAAGGCAAGTGTTCCTGGGGGTGGGTTAGGGTGGGAGAGAGTGGGTTCCAGGTGTAACTCCCTTCTGGTGCTGACAGAGGCCAGTAGCCCCTGAATGTGGAACTGAGTTATTTTAAGGCTAAAGGCTCCTGAACTCTAGTTCCTGAGCACAGGGACACTATCTGTTCCTTAGAGGATTTAGTATAAGTTTCTTTCTTGAGTGACTAATACATATGAGGGTCTTTTCATAGGTTATCTCATTTAACCTTCACGAGCACCTCAGGAGACAAGGCTTTCTCATTTCTGGTTCAGACATAAGGAAGCTGAGACCCACGAAGGCGGAGGATCTTGCTCAAAGCCACGCAGCTAGCCGGTTAGGGAAAACTTGGCCTCCCTTTACCATCACATGGGGAATTTCTTTTTGTCTGATTTGAGAAAAAGAGCGAATACCTTTCAGCTGAGATAAGAGAAAGGTATCTGATCTCATCATCCATGCTTCCTTGTAAATTTATTTATTCAGCCTCATTTCCCTCAAAATTGTAAAAGATCCCAGTCCTCTCTCTTCTGTTCTTATGGTGTGAAACCTTGGACAAGTCTCCTTTTTCCTATAAGAAGAAAAAAGTTACCTGAAGAAACTTGAGCAACAGTGCTGATCTCATAAAGCTGTGGTGGAAGTTAAATGGAGAGAATGTGTGGAAAGCTTTGAACAAAGTCAGGGTTCTAGATTGTCTTTATTGTTACTACTCTATTCGGAGAATTTTTTTCACGTGCAAAGGGAAGTGGGGACGGAAGCTTCTATGTGGAAATATTTCCCCTTACTTCTTGTACTTAACCTAGGTGGCCAAAGAGCTAGAACTATGATATTTTTGACTTGAAAAAGTTCTTCCAACTTCCTTAATTTCTGTTTTGTGAGTAGGGAAATGAATTTAGAGAAAATTTAGTAGCCATGGGATTACTGACTGAAGATCTTATTGAAATTATGTTCAGTTTTCTCTCAATCCAGTTGGGTAAAAAAAATGAAAAGAAAGTCTTTTGCTGTCATTCGGTGGTGGAATAGAAACTATAACTAAAGTTTTGAAATATGAAAAGCATTATTATTGATGTCTATCTAGATTACAGTGATTTTTTTGTGTTGTGCAGAAGAGGCACACAATTGTTAAATCCCCCTTCACTCCACTTTCTTTTTTGGTATTCAAATAAATAGGAAAGGCTGTGACATTAAACATTATCTCACAAAATACCATGTTTGAAGACTAACATTCAAATTGTTGACATATAGCATTTGAATGCTATGTACAAAACATTATACTTAAAACATGGCATCCCAACAATCAATTTGCAGCACAACATCCCGGCATAGTAGTCAGATAGAACTAGTCTGCATGTATGGAAATAGATCTTCCTGTTGGTGCATTTGCAATTAAAAGACCCACATTAATAGCACAGCCTCCATTTAGAATTTTTAATTCAACATGCATTTATTGTAAAACATTGTATAGCAATGAAAGAAAGATGACTAAAACCTAATCTCTGTTGCAAAGTAGTAACTTGAGGAAGGAAAAAGGGAAGAGAAGAACACCTTATGTGCACAACTGCTGGAAAAAGGAAAAATCTGGGCTCTATGGTGAGCAAAGAGGTTTACATTTATGCACTGCTGATGGCATTAGCTTTGCCTCAGCCTCTTCTAGGTATTAAGCACGTATGGGGCCCTCATGTGGAATCCCCCTCTGGCCTGGCTTCCCATCCACAAATTACTTTCCTTTCAATGAACCAAATTTAGGCAGAAGACTTTGTCATTCTTGACGGTGTTTTTATCCAGTTGGGGTTTGGTGGTTTTACTGTAGCAACTTGTTTTATGGTTTGAGTTCTGCCCTTGATTATGTAATCTCTGAATGATTTTATCATTGTTCACTTCCCCTTTTCTTTCTCCTTGACATGAAGAATAAGACAGTGTGTATAGTGTTAAGATGTGTAGAGAGTGAAAACAGAAAGAGATGGAATTTCCAGTAACTATGTAAAGTGACAGCACATGTCATCAACAGAGAGGACTGCAGTGTTTCCTCTGGGCAGCTCTGCCCAAGTAAGGCCTCGGTCTTTTTCAGAGCTGCCCTCCAAGGCTGGCCTATGGAGAAGCCCCAATTTTACATCTAATAAATTAGAAAGACCCTTCTACCCTCAAAAGTGCCCTTCCAGATAATTTAGGGGATCTAGAGGGTAAGTTTTTCTGAGGAGGGCAGTAAGCTAGTTCTAAAGATAGCTCAAGGAAACTTCTAGATAATGCTATTTTCTTACTTCCAGAGCAGTTCAGAGACTGTCACAAGAGCTTTCTTAAGTATCCCCAGTGCACAGTCTAAGCCAAATGCAAAGCTTCCAATTAGAACATTGAAGCTTTGATGCCAATTAAAATTAAATGATGCTGTTTATGGTCTTAGGAGGAGGAATAGACCCAAAAGAAAGACATTAAAACTTGGTATTTTAAAAATATGAGCTCAGCTTCATTAGAGAGTGGTTGCTGAGTTTGAACCTAAAGTTCTAACAGGGAATTCAAAAGTTTCAAGTGATAAGATAATTAATATAAAAAGGGAGGCAGATGGAAAATGGGTAAAGGTTATATGAGTTTGGTGTTTGAAGTTACAAAGTTAAAGTATTTTAAGGACAGAAGAACTCAGCTGTGTTTCTAGTTGGCAATATATTGCAAGTTGTTGTTCAAGTAAATTGGCTTTGGTTATACCCAACACAGAGCTTCTCAAAAGATCTAGTTTCTGGTTTCCCAAATAATCACAAAGAAATGAATGCGCTTAGCTTGTTTATATCAATATTACTGAATGCTGATAGGGTGGTCTCTCATTTTCTCTTTTGGGATGGATGGCTAAATTTTTCTTTTTTTAATTGAAGCCTTCTACTTATCATTGAGTAGAAGGTAAAACTAAATGTCCTTAATTTTACTTTTTGAACAAATTTACTGCTTTGAGTAGCTGGATCTCTTATGGTTCCTGGTATAAAGTCATCTAGAGCAGCCTTTTAAGGTCCATTACAGTAACACATGAGTCTGAGAAACCTTCAGTTTATTAATTACTTATTTCTACTGACACATAATCCTGCTATTCTAGATAATACATGGCATCAGGAGTGGAGACATTTCTTTTTGGACAAGCTCTGAAAGGATGAAAGGAAAATGTTTCTTTAAATGTGAACCGAGAAACAACGGATGGTGAGCAATTTTCCCTCAATTATAAAGCAATTGTATGTCCTATTTTAAAACAAAGTGTAATGGGATATATTTTCTTTTCTATTATATTTCTAATAAAATCTTATCTGCGGAGAGACAAAGCAACAGAAATTATTTTCCAGAAACACCAGATGTTGACCCACCTGTCTGGTTACTGTTGAGAGTTCTAATCTTGTAGTTCAGTAAATATCTTAATTAAATTACATGCCATTTCTGCATCGTTAGAATAAGTTGAAAGCTGGAAATCTGTTCAGAAATTTGAGCCTGTGTTGCTCATTCTGTTTTCTCATATACATTTAGGCATCTGCCAAAAAGAATCACTATATCGGTTTTGCAAAGCCAGATTCCAGCTTTGTTACTTAACCATGACTGAGCAATCATGGGTCTCCATTCCCTCGCTGGGGTAATATTGTCTATGTAAGAGACTGGTTGTGAGTATGAGATGACACACTGCTGTAAAGCGCCTGAGACATAGGGGACCCTTGGTAGATGCCAGCTGTTTCCTATTTCTCCTCTCTTCTCTTATAATATTGAAGTAGTCTCCCTTAAACAGTACCATCATCTTATTTAGTGGCTGAAATGCCTACAGTGATTTCTTTTTACTTACTGTACTCTTTCATTTATTCAACCGTTCAAAAATAATTAGCTTAATATTATATTCACACAGAAATGAATAAAAACATGATCCCTACTTTCAAGAAGTTCACAGTCTAATGAGCCAAATTAATTATGGAATTTAAACCTGTGTTAGTATCTAAGTTGCAAGTATCTGTTTCCCATCTCAAGTACATCATCTCCCCTTGTTTAGTTATATGCTCCCTTTACCCAGGGGTTCTCAGCATTGGCTGAACACCAGAACCACTTGGGGGAATTTTCTTCAAAATGCTAATGCCTGGGCCCTACCCAGATCAATGAAGTAAGAACCTACAGGTATGGGTGTTTAAGAAGCTCCCAGTTGCCTGACTTATTTCACTTAGCATAATACTCTACAAGTCCATCCATGTTGCTGCAAGTGGTAAAATTTTATTCTTTTTTATGGCTGAGTAGTATTCCATTGCATGTATATATGTATATACATGTGTATACATCTGTGTGTGTGTGTGTGTATACATATATACCCCATATCTTCTTTATCCATTCATCTGTTAATGGACATTTAAGTTGTTTACGTATCTTGGCAATTGGAAATAATGCTGCTATGAACATTGGGGTGCATGTGTCTTTTTAAGTTAATTTTTTTTTGTTTTTTTTTTTTTGTTTTTGGATGTGTACCCAGGAGTGGAATTGCTGGGTCATATGGTGATTCTATTTCTCTTTTTTTGAGAAACCACCATTCTTTTTTCCACAGTGGCCGCACCAATTTACATTCCCACCAACAATGTACAAGTGTTCCATTTTCTCCACATCCTTGCCAACATTTGTTATTTGTGTTCTTTTTGATGATAACCATTCTGACTGGTGTGAGGTGATATCTCATTGTGGTTTTGGTCTGCATTTCTATGATGATTAAGGATGTTGACCATCATTTCATGTGCCTGTTGGCCATCTGCATGTCCTCTTTGGAAAAATGTCTATTCAGTTCAAATACTATATGATAACACTTGCACATGAAATCTAAAAAATACAACAAACTAGTGAATGTAAGAAAAAAGAAGCAGACTCACAGATACAGAAAATGAACTAGTGGTTACCAGTGGAGAGAGAGAAGAGGGAAGGGGAAACACAGAGGTAGGGGATAAAGAGGTACAAACTATTAGTTACAAAATAAGCTACAAGGATACATTGTACACTATGGGGAATATAGCAACTATTTTATAATAACTATAAAAGGAATATAACCTTTAAAAATTGTGAATCACTATAGTATACATCCATAACTTATGTAATATTGTATATCAACTATACTTCAATTTCAAACAAAAGCTCCCAGGTATAATCAGAATTGGGAATCATTGGGTTAGAGTCAAGCCAAATTCCACCTGCAGGCCTTATTCTGCATGTTACTTTTTTGTTCCCCTTCCACTGAGTGAACCATTCCTTTCTCTTTTCTCTGTCAATGTTCTTCATTAGAATGCAGCTTCAAATATCTCTTTCAAGTGAAATTCTAAGACTCATACCCTAGATTAGGCTTTTTGTTCTGTGTGGTACCATCTTTACTCTGAAATATTATTTTTCCACTTGGATTTATTGACAAGTGAAATTCAGAAGTTTTCTTCAGCTCTTTCTTTTGTGTGTTTTTTCCCCCAAATCAGTGTGGAAGCTCCTTATGGAGGAGACCGACATTCCATTTTTGTGCACTGTTTCCCAGTGCCTTTTCACTGCTTCTGGCTGCAGTAGGCATTCAACAGATGGTCAAAGCCAACTGACTCACTTCTGGTAAGTGACTCCTTCCTCCTGCCTATCTCAGTGTTAGCAGCTGTGGGAGCTTAACATGAATTATTGAACTTTTAACTGACTTTCTAACTCCAAATTGTAGTCTCTTTCATCATCCAGTTTCTTGGAATTTAATCATTCTTCCTTCCCACCATTTCAAATGAAATATTTTAAAATTTCTTATCTTTAGGCAGTTTTGGGGGAGATACCTACATCATTAAATGCAGCTATAATAAAAGCCATAGCACTGATACATACTCTGCTAAGCTTCATGAAGGCAGGGACCATGTCATATATATTTTTGTGTCACAGACACATGAACAAGTCCCTGGTATATAGCAATTTCTTGATAAAGATTTGTTGAATTAATTAGTCCCTTGATTAAATTAAGGTTCATTAGCAGAGACATTCTGAATTCATTTATCACATAGATTATTCAGAAAATCAGATGCATTTCTAATAGCATTTTTTCCTCTGCATTTATCTTCTTATCACTCATAAGTTCTGGGAATCTAACTTTCCTGTTTTATATCACTGTGCCTCAGCTTTCCAGTTCACTGACATATTTTTGGATTTTGTGTTGACTTATATTGGTCATTGATCTGTCTGGCTGTCTATGAATCTATGAATATCTAACACTATACCTAAAGAGGATCATTCTGAGTTATTGAATTAAATGTACTTAATTTTATTTCCTAAATATCATTAGAGAAAACATGGAAAGTATTACAATGTAAAATGATGTAACTATCAATTTATTTCACTCAATGACAATCACTGGGAATTTTTTTGTGTATTTCCTGCTGATCTTTTTTTTCTTTGCATTTTTAAAGCATGGTTGTGATCTCAGATCCAACTATTTATTCCATTTTGTATTTTAATTTATTCTGTTCTAATGAATCTATTGTACACTAATATATAGGTGTACAATGATTTTAATAAACCATTCTCTTATTGTTGAACTTCTGGATTGTACCATTTTTTATTACAATAAATAATCCTAGGATGACCATCTTCATGCATAAATTTTTTTCCCATAAATAGGGTTATGACCCAGAAGCTGTGTCT